GTTGTACGTGTAAATCAAGGCATAGAAGATGAGAAGATAGAAAGTAGAAGGGAAAAATAGATTATGTAGATTTTATCATCGGTTCAGTGCCAACTACAAACAGGACTTATCAAAACGCTTTGTTTTATAAACTTTTGAACTTATAGTTTCATCGATTTGAGTTTGAATGAAGATTTTGTTGTCATAACGGTACTTTCTTGTTTTCCTTTCCTGCCTTCCTTCCCTCTTTAGATTTATCTGTTGAAAACCAAAACCCTAGATTCTATTAACACGGACTGGTTTTCCGGAGAAAAGATATATGCATGTACCGAGGTTACTGTACAGTGTACCGTTGACATTGGGCTTTGCTGTTTTGCTGGAAGAGACGATTGCAAAATTACATGAAAGTGAATCCAAGACTTCTTTCCTGGTGTTTCGTAACAAAACACTCCAATTATGTGATTTGTTCCGTCGCTGCTTATGTTATTACGAAAAAATGATATTATCGATGGTAAACATTGAAATCGAACACATCAACCATAAACTGAAATGTTTATAGACTCGTGTGCCTTGTACAAGTCACTTGTAGAACATGTATATATTGTACCACGCTTCTGTCGACATTAATATTTCAACGAAATCAAATTCTAGCGCAATATTTACTTTTTACAAAAAGACGGATAAGCCGTTAAAATAGGTATATTTAAAGTGGCTCTCAATCTGGGCGACCTGGTAATGTAGCATCCTCATGTCTCGATCGGGTCCTGTTACATATCATTTATAAGTAATCGACGGTGATATCAACTGATCTTTATTTCTGGTAGCCACCTCATAGTATGTAGGGGCTGCACTAAACACATCAATTTACAAATGTTTTTTGGTTATGAATTTATTTCTGGTCAAATAGAATCTCATCTCTTCGAAAATGTTTCTAAATCCTCACTCGTTCTTTGCGTTGCTGACCGCTTTAAGCACGAGACAAATTTTGCCGAACGTCTTATCTTATGTAGAGGAATTTTCACGATTGTGTTTCATGAATAGATAATATGTTGTCTGGTCCTTTGAAATTCCTATGTGTATCACCTACTCCTTCCGTTTTCTGTACGGCGAGCTACATTTTTTTCTGACATAATGATAGAGTTGTATCTTAAATAAATTAAGAACTGAACACAAAAAATACACGATATTGGTACAAATTGCACAATACTAGTAATAAAAGCTGCCAGTCTTTGTCAGAAGAGTCTGTGAATCGATGTATATAGTTTTTCCTGTTCGATAATTTCCGGAAAGAATACTATTTGATTTTGACTACTGAACACAACTTGATGATAAAACTACAAAGAAACATCTGTTGGTTTATGATAGCATTCAGAAAAGGAGACGTAGAGTAGTTTAGGCCTAAAGGTTTTACTTATCATCGGGAGACGTAGAGCTGTTTAGACCCAAAGGTTTTACTTATCATCGGGAGACGTAGAGCTGTTTAGACCCAAAGGTTTTACTTATCATCGGGAGACGTAGAGCTGTTTAGACCCAAAGGTTTTACTTATTATCGGGAGACGTAGAGCTGTTTAGACCCAAAATCGGGAGACGTAGAGCTGTTTAGACCAAAGGTTTTACTTATTATCGGGAGACGTAGAGCTGTTTAGACCCAAAGGTTTTACTTATTATCGGGAGACGTAGAGCTGTTTAGACTCGAATTCGGGAGACGTAGAGCTGTTTAGACCCAAAATCGGGAGACGTAGAGCTGTTTAGACCCAAAGGTTTTACTTATTATCGGGAGACGTAGAGCTGTTTAGACCCAAAGGTTTTACTTATTATCGGGAGACGTAGAGCTGTTTAGACCCAAAATCGGGAGACGTAGAGCTGTTTAGACCCAAAGGTTTTACTTATTATCGGGAGACGTAGAGCTGTTTAGACCCAAAATCGGGAGACGTAGAGCTGTTTAGACCCAAAGGTTTTACTTATTATCGGGAGACGTAGAGCTGTTTAGACCCAAAATCGGGAGACGTAGAGCTGTTTAGACCCAAAGGTTTTACTTATTATCGGGAGACGTAGAGCTGTTTAGACCCAAAATCGGGAGACGTAGAGCTGTTTAGACCCAAAGGTTTTACTTGTCATTTGAAAAAAAAATCGTCATATATTTCCAGTATGTAAGATGACATGTGTATCATGTTTGTTCGTTCTATTTACAGTAAATACACGGAGATAGCTGTCGCTGAAGATTGTAGGCAGGTTAGAATAAAAACATGTATCTATAAATGGGAATGAAAATATCTGTTTAGGCAAGGAGATAAGCTGCCATGAACAAAAGTGTCCATCTCTGTTTTTCAGTATTTCCAAATCCAAATGGTAACGTCTGTTTTGGCAAAGTGGATGGTTACTTCCTCGACCCGAAAGACTGTGGGTACTACTATCAATGTTCCTATGGCCAGGCAGTGCGAGAACCTTGTCCACCTCGACTGGTCTTCAATGAGAAGACTAATGCCTGTGACTACGCACAGAACGTCCCCGCTTGTTCTCAGTACCAAGGTCGGAAATAAAACTTGCTTTGGTAACTTTTAACTTGAATCAGCGTCTTTTTCAAACAGGTTGTTTGTGCTCAATATCCAGTTATAGATCGAAAATAATACATTAGTTCTTAAAAATTGTATTTCAAATTAGTTCATCTATAGCATGTTCATCGGTTTCGCTTGGGACAATGTAAGTTAGCCTTAAGTCATGCACAATGTTAAGAAGATATTGTTACTTTTACCTAATGGTGTTTAGAATATCTTCGTTATTCCAACAAATGGCCCAGACTTGATCTCAAACAGTCCAAATTGATCTCTCCTCAATATACTTAATGAATGGTAACATTCGGTGCTATTTTCTAGAGTTTATGGTTGAGATTGAGTTAACCTCGACAGTCAGTTGATAATATCTTAACATTTTGTGTTTAATATTCAAATAGTAATCTGATAGTATGGTTTTACAGTTTTACTGGCCTTCAGCTAATCAACATAAACAATTACAACATATCAAAATAAAATAAAAATTAACTGATTAGAGTAATACATATTATGGAGGATGGACAATAGGATTTGCTGTGACATTTGATCTAATCTTAGAAGCAACAACTAGAAGATTTGCTAAGTTAATGATTTTTTTTCTTATTTTGAACAGAGAAAAGGTTAACTAATTTGAACATAGATGGACGTGCTCTGTAATATCTATCAATTTATTGAATTGTACGAACACTGTAAAATAAACAAACAATGGTAAAGTCATGGTAATTGCTGTGCTGAATACTTCAATAACTTTATACAAGAGTTGGTTTGAATGGATTTATACACTGCTGGTGCAGATTTCAAATTCAGAGCGGATCTCAACAACAACTTTATCGTAGATATCACAGTGAGTCTCCAAATTAACTTTAGGGAAGAGATGAATGCCCATCGATTGAAAGGACATACAGATTTTGACGTAATTGTTCTGGTAATTGTCGATCCTATTAAGAGTGAATACCCATTATTTTAGAGTACAGAGTGGATCCTCACGATTACTTTATAAAAGAGTGAACCTCCATAGTAATTCTACAGGGGATTTCAGAGTGAATCTACATAGTGACTTTATAATAGATTACACAGTAGATGTTCACGTAACTTTAAGGTAGAGCATAGAGCGGATCACCACTGTAGCTGTATTCACCATGGATCTCCATGGTAATTATGCCTTCCTTTGGAATGAAGGTAAAATGTATTTGAGCTGACTCATCTGCTTGTTTTTCCTTTGATAAATCTTTTGCCGGACATAAGTTTTGAAAGGTATAACACCCGGTTACTTCTGATAAATACTTTATGTCATAATGCCATAAAATCTAACGGCAAATCACCTGGTTATAAAACAAGAAAATATCAACAGAAAATCGAAGTAAATAAAACTAGGGGAAAATATGAACGAAAGAAAGATTCTCACGAAGACCCCAGAAAATTGCAAGTATAAGACCAGGTGTTCTGGAAGACTAAGCGTCTTCTGTCCCATTGACTACACTCGTCATGTAAATCTTCCTCACTTCGAGTAAGCAACATGTCAAGTTCCTCAATTGGTATATAGTAAACAACAATGGAATCAACAGGTATACTAACAGCATTAAACATGTCCAGCTTCATATCAATTAAAGAAAACTTACATTTCTTAACGAGATAATTATGACACCTGTAAAACTTCCCCATCATTTTCATCACCTCCATTGCTCTAAACCATGCAATGTGAGTTTGTCTGTAAATTGTCCACATCTTGCATGAAAATCAAGATACTGAGAACAAGATCTTGAATATTGAATAAGTTGCCAGGTGTAAAGGCCATAAGTTAGAGCTGCAGAGATATTACTCTCAGAAAGTGAAAAATTTACTTTAAAAGTAGTTGATTGTTTTGGTAGGGATAAGACGGAGATAAGATGTAGAAGAGTCCGCCCTGTCCTTAGATTCCATAGTTTCCAATTCTGGTCAGTATAATATCAGTCAATGTGTATGAAAGTGAAACTGCAGGGTTTTACAACGGAGTTAAATTTTCACCTTTTTAGCAGTTAAAATGTTTAAGGAATGAAATATGTACACAATTCAAGATCAGTGATCAAGGTCTCTAAGATGATGGAGGTTAAATGATGAGTTATGTTTACATACATCCATTCAAAGTTATAGGTAAATATCTACATAGTTTCCTTTTCATTTGTAAATATTCTGTAATGAATGGGAAATTTATTCTCGACAAATAAGGGAAGACATTATTTATGTCCACAAAATCAATTTCATAACTGATTTCTGAGTGGATCCCCATCATATATTTATGGTAGAGGGCCTCCACTAAGAGATTTCGGTTGAATGGTTCATCACTATAACTTAGGGTAGACAAGAGAATGAAACTTGATACAGAATTCTTGTGGTTGTGTATGATGTTGATGTCTTTATAGCAAGTTGAAATCTATTACAAAATTGTGATGCTACTTCTTTCTTGTGCAATATGTAAACAAACAAAACAATTCCTTTCACTTCTTCACATACATATTTATTTCATGAAATGAACATAATGATATACAATGTACAGTAACGCACCCCCTTCTAAAACTTGTCGTTATGTAGAATAAAATGAAGGTCAACTTCCTTAAATTGTTTTGCTAGACAGCTGTTTGAAATTTGTTCCCATTTTTAAGGAAACAGTAGGATTTCAGAAATTAAAATGGAACTTTAATACATGTATGTGATGAGAAAAAGGATTACATGAAGAAAATTTGATGAGGACTGCTTTATACATGTGCTGTTCGTAGACTTTAAGTAAGGACATAGATTTAAACTTTTAAGGCATTTCACCCCAATATTTCTGGAGTTATTAACTTGTTGGCTAAATTGATCCGGGTATAATTACAGGGATATCAGAATCCTGTTGATTTGTCTTTTTGTTCCTATATATATATATATTATTACAAGAGTTGGTTAATCCATATCCTTTTCAGTTATAAAATATAATGTGTGAGAACAGTTAGCTACTATTAGAAACAATCTCGTTCCATGATGAATATGGTTTTACACAGTGAATATACAGACTCTCCAAACAAGATCTGTTACAAGTTGTTTGATGTAAGAATAAAGAGTCTCGCACCTGATGCACCATTTACACTATATAGGAGACCATATCAAACTGTAGACATTCTAGTTACAAAACCGCAGAAATATCTTTAAATTTTTTACAAACATCAGCAGATTTTGACCGGTAATTATCAATTTTTGTTTAGTTTTATCAGTTTATAGTTTATTTTTTATAGATAAAAATTGTTTAAAAAAAATGACTGAAATTATATTCTCTTGAACAAATTCATCTAAAACAATTTACATAAAATAAGACTGTATTAAGTACAAAAGTCTGTCCATATACAACCGTTCTGACAAAAAGTGTAGTCACTCATGCTCAACCAAGTGTATCAGGGATCACATACACTAACAAAGTAGAGGTGTCATGGAGCAGTGATGATTTTTGACTAAGCATCTTCCTTGTACTCCTCATAAACAAGGCTACTGTGAGAGAACTGACCTAATATCATTACCAACTAAAGCAATACTTGTACTTGAAAAGTCAACTTTCATTTTTTATCTGATTAGATGCACTAACATTAATTTTACAAATATTACAGATTGAGTCTGGTTACAACACTTCCTTGTTGTTAAGATTTTTATGTCAGACTGTAAAACCAGATATATATATGATTTTGGTAAAACTTCCATTTTATCATGGATAATACTGAACTGGATTCTACATACATGTGTTTCCTGAATTTTCAGTTAATGTAATCGTGCAAATATCATATGTATAAAACTGCAATTCTCTAGCACTGAGTAATGATATAGCTACACAAGATGTATAAACTGAAGTCAATTGTACAGAGAGCTTATATAAAACCTGAAAAAAGTATCCGAGAACTCACAAAAATGAGATAAATATTACAAGTAAAGGACCTTACAGGAGTAAACAATAATTACTGTGACTTGGATGGTTTCTCATCAAATTTATATTCTGGTTGTGTATGATGGTTATTAAAAGTTGTTAAGGCAGTAAATCTAACAGATTTTAGTATATACAATATTCTTGTTTTAGATAAAAAGCTGACTAAAATCAAAGTATTGAACAGATGATAAATATTAAATGTGATTAATAGCTAATTCATAGTATTAATCAGTAACAATAAAAAAAAAAAAAAAAAATTACAACAAATATTTTTTTGAATATACAAAGAAATAATAAATAAAAGCCAAGTACCATTGCAGTTTGCTACCATAAAGACCATCATTTTTGTCAGTTCCAATTTTCATTTTCATTGTGGTTCTAAACTTTATCCCAGTATTTCCCTTTTTCATGAAATACTTCTGCTTCTTTTCTCTGAATTTTAAACATTCAATTTTGAGTCAAAATAAAAGACACTTTACCACAATGGCAAACCCATCTACATTTGAAAATACAAATTCTGTAGCAATCAGGATTTCTATTCATTGCCCTATAATGGAAATCCACTCTCCTCTCCCTCACCCTCTCTTTTTTACTTCAAAAATATTTTTCTGGAAAAAACAAAAGACAAAAATGAAAATTTTAGTCTGACAAATACAATGAGCTTTACAGTTAAAAATGGTGAAGATTGTATCGGCTTGTCCAGCAGCACGAATCTGTACAAAGCAAAACCAGAGCCATGTATGAGTGTAGAAACATGCTAAAAAGAGTGTTTCATCACACACTGACAGCCCTGTCTATATATAGAATCTTACATGTCATGATATCTCTACATACATATACATTTTATACCTACAATTATATATATATATATCTTTATGTACACACACACATCCCCGAATACAAATCTCTCAATGAAAAGTGTAGTAAGGTCACACACTTGTGATGTTATGTACAAGATTTCTGATGAAAAGTCTGACACAGATGTATCTAAAACAATGGATGATCTTGTCACATAATTCCTTCACAGAAGGACAATGATCAACTCTCACAACTCAAATGTCTAAACGTTCCACAAATTAAATATAGTTTATCACTTCTGTATGAATGGACTGGCCAAGAAAATGATGCACAACCTCACAAACTGATAGGGGTTGGTAAGCTTACAAACCCAAGAAACGTGACAAGAATCAACATCCTACAAAACTTACTTACCTAAAGAGCCTAGCACACTTGCTCTTCCAGTGGACTTAATAAGCTCACAAACCAAGAAAACTTTGACTTAAAACTGTTGATAAGTTACTCACAAAGCTTAATACCTCAGAGGGCTTGGAAAGCTTTTAAACCTTGGTAAGTGAACTTGAAATAACTAACTCATCCTCTGTGTTTGGAAAGCCAACTAACTAGGTTAACTTTACAAGCTTACTATCTATAGTCCATTGAGCTTAATAACTAGTACATGCTCTCATCTCATTCTATGTCTCATTTCTATTGCAAATTAATTCCATGCAGAAAATCTTACATTCCTATCCTACACTCTCACTCTACGTTGTCATACCCTTTTAAACCTGAAAATTTTTTTAACCAGATAAAATTTCACTAAAAATGGATACAATTCATTCGTAAAAGTAAAATGTCAACACACAACACATATACAAGAGAGCCATCTGCTCTTGCAATGACAAGATATTTAGACAAACAACTGTAAATAAACATATCTTATGAGCACATGTGTCCATCTACAGTAAAACAAATGTGAATCCAGCACTGATGTCATAAATTGTAGTATATATTTGTTAAAAACAAAATGTTTGGTCTGTGATGTGAAAACTACATCTATTTATTCGGACAGCTCTACACTACTGACCTACCATGTCCTGGATATGTGAGTCAACACTGATTGGTGATCTGGACAGTGAACTAAAAACAGTGTATTGCATGCGATATTCAGGAAATGTAAGGAGTTTGTCTGAATCCTGTCTTGTTGATGTTTACTGAAATAACTGAAACTTCTTATGTCTCTGCTGGATTAATAAAACATCGAGTAAATTATCTGGTTTTCAGTAAGCAAACACAAAGTTATTGTTGATACATTCAGACCATTAGTGAGGCAACTATCAGCCTGTTTTAAGATTTGAATACACTTAAGAGAGAACCAGGCCATAAGTGTTTCTTACAAATATCACGAACAATGGCAGCATATGTTCATTGGAGGTAACTTCACTTATTTCAGTAAAATTTTCTGATATCACTTTATTTCAATTAAACCAATTTAATTGGACATTATTTCAAATTTGGGAAAATTAATAAAAATGAGACTTTCAGAGAAAAGTGTGAAAAATGATCCGTTGTATGGTATTAGGTAGTCTAAATCTGTCAATTGTGAGGACATTACAATGATCTTGCATTCATTTGACAATAAACAAATCATCTACTAAAATGTTTCACATCTCTCTGCACAATTCGTATAACTTTTTCCTGTTCATTTCATTTGTTTACCAAGATCTAAAATATACAAAGACAGAAATAGCACCTTACAAAATGATTTTTTCTTGACATGCAAATGAGGATGTATAGAGCAATATTTAAAAATAATTCTTCAGAAATCTTTTCATAAGACAAAGTTTGACTCTGAACTCGCCAGAACTGTCCAATAACACTACTGTGATTCATGAATTCTCTCTCAATCTGGAAAAAAAAAAAAATTCTTCACCAATCTTCACACCAGGATGATATCCAGATTCCTGACTTCCTGACAAGAATGATCTGAGACATCAACGTCTGCACTCTCCATGACGCTGACACCTCCATTCTCTCTTTAATATTCATGTCTGCAATCTCCTCTTACACATGACTTTTGTAGACAACGCTGTTCTACCATCAACTGAAACCCCTCTTTCACACAAAGCATTCCATGGTGACAAAGAATATTTCACAGGAACCACAAATGGATTTTTTTCTCACAGTTTGATGTTTGTGATCTAGGTCACAACTTCTGACACCTAAATTCTGCAGGAATCTCACATCACTGTTATTCCACAGCAAAGCCACATGTCTCTTCTACAGCACAAGTCAGTTTGGATAGTAATTTCTCATATGATTCATATGGAGGCAAGTCAATCCTATTGAAACTGCAACACATATAAAAAAAAACAATACGAAGTGCTCAAAGACATCTCAATGGCTGATAAAATATTGTAGAAAGAAATCTCCAAGTTAACAATTCATTACATAATAGACATTTATCTATATAACTTTAAAAATGAATATTTACTGTATAACAGGTATTTATTGACAAAACTATCAAACTGAAATATATTGGTATATAGATTTCCTTAAGCACCAGTTGTTCATCGATCTTTTACCCATGCTTCTTACAGTTTCAAATTTTCCTATCTGCAATGTTCTTATAATGGAGTGTTTCAACACCTCTAAATAAATTCTGATTTCAAGCTGTACAAAATTCCTATCTATCAGCCCTTCATGGTTATCACTGTGTTCTTACATACAGACATTGTAATTAATGACATCTCCATAATATATTGAAGGGTGTGAATAAGTTGAGATCTATACCAACCTAGCTGCCTTTATGTACTTACCATGTGTGGGCTTTGGGTAGATTGTCTGTGTTGGTCTCCACCAAATGTATGGTAAACAATCGTGGACCTGCAGCACCAGTGGATCCTGAGATTGAAAAAAGAATGATATGAATGCAAGCACAGCTGTTGAAACCAATCATAATGTGGCCATTTTTTCAATTCTGCCTTTATATTACAGAGGCAGACTTTTCATTGAGTGTTTTAGCTTCTAGTTAAACAAAAACAAATCATTCCTACCTTGTAATGCCTTGAAGCCTTGAAGTGGCACTCTTGAGCTGCCTGTAACAAACTGGAGAAGTCTTGCTCGCATTTCATCATCAAAACCTTCAACTGCGCGCCAGAACCATTTGGTTACATTAGTGTCCTGAGTACAGTGTTTTAGGCGAGTGTGGTTTTTCCAGTCCTGAAGATCTATCTTTCCAAGGCCTCCAATCATTAACTATAATGTAAATATCAAATTTTCTACAGTTTGTTCATACATGTGGTGGACTTGGACATCTCCCTTTTATACCACGCAAACACGCACACACGCACGCACGCATAAATAAAAAACTAAAATTTCCTTTTCTCTAACTCTGACTCCTATTGCAAATCGAAAGCCATTCAAATGTAAAACATGATATTATAATACTATAAAATATGAACCAAGTCTGTTGAGATGTCTGCCCCCCCCCTTCCCCTCCCATCACCATCCGATCCCAAATTGCTATTTGTCTACTGCTCAAGAGCACAATGACAGCTCTTGACATGACTCGACTTTTGCTTGAAAAATGCTGTTTCAACAAACCTCTAATTCACGTTCATCAAAAGGTCTTAGTAAATGTTGTGGAATAACTTCATTGAATCCTTTCTGTAAGGCAAGAAACTGGGCTTCAATCCCCCTCATGAACCTCCAGTGTACATACAATCTGAAATAAAACATGATCAATGTATTGATTGCTGTAAATATAATCACTCAAAATATTGATGATCAAAAACAGAATATCACATGTTAGCTTAGATACAGACTGATGACACCACTCAGTTTGAAATATTGAAGCGCAGGAACCTAAATCCACCATAACATAATTTTGTGTATTGTTCTACAAAATTTCTACACGTGGGAAAAAAATGAAGATCCATGTTGATCTCACTTTCCTATTTATATTATTGAGATTGTATTTTAATGATTTCTTTAACTTAACACCAAAACCATTGATATAGTTACATCATACCAAAACCAAGGTTGGCTACAATAAATGCCAACTTACTTAACATATTCCTTTTTGTTATCCTCTGTCACAGGGATGTCATTGCCACCAGGCTTTAGTTCATACTCTGTGAACTGCCCAAAGGAGTTATGTTCCACACAGAAGTTGTGATCCAGCACTGATTCTATGTTGTTTTCTCTGTTACGAAAACAAAAATAAAACTTTCATATTTCGTGTAAATATAAAGGCATTTCACTTATTAAGAGTACCACTATGTTTTAAAAACATTTTTACAAGAAGAACACAATTATAAGTCTTGTGTATTGCCCGCTTCTCAACACAATTATGCAACCAAGTTACATCTATACTTATTGTTCTAATAACTGTATTTCTCAAAATTGCCAAAACTATATGATTTCATTTTTTCAAAGCTACATTAAGAAATCAAATTTTTTACAAATTAAGAAGCTGTAACATGATTGACCAAAGTTTGACTGGCCACACACTTCGACTTTGTATATCATAGTGATGAAATACTAGAACATAATACAATTACCAAAATCCAACAGAAAATAAATTCAGAATCTAAAATGTAGGTTGGGTTGGCCATGTGTAGATACAAATTCTAAGTTTCATTATGACAACATATGTATTTAGAAAGAAATTAACCTCAATTATGAGCTAAACAAAACAAAACAAAAGGATTAATCACCAAGTAAAGACTGAAATCATTATTGAAACTATGTGCTGAGATGTTCTTGCTTATATATGACTACAAAACAGGTTTTGTAGAACTTTGAGTTCAACACAAATGTTGATGCTGCAAACAGACAAGTAACAACTATGTCTCACTTTGTGATGGTGATTGTGTTCTATGATAACTAACAAGTTGTATATATACATTTAACTGAATAGGGCTTAAGACTATGTCATTAATTTTCAGGTATAAAGTTTGAAGAGCATTGTTTTGGAATGAAATCAACAGCAACAGGATTATTGTGATCTTCAAAGAAAACCTTTTAAGCATCTTTATCAAAACAAAGACAAATTTGATCCATAATCCCAATGAACAAAACTTTCACTAAACGGCAATTAAATTTTTTTATCTCCAGATCTTCAATGCAACTATTTTGAGACAGTTGTCTCCCTTAACTTACAGTAGCCACACTAGACTGCGGTGCAGCTCTGGGTCGACATTCTCCAAGTCATCAAGAGTGACAGCCTTCTGGAGAAGTTGTTTGTAGAAAGGCAGAGTGAATCCTCCATCGAGGTAGTGGCCGTGGAATATTGCCATGCCAATAATGCGGCCCACAAAATGGAAATAAGATAAATGTTCCTGGAAATATTAAAAAATAAAAAGCATTTTGCTGACACTGATTTTTTTAATTTTTGTTTTTATAGACTTCTCGACTTTTCATCAAATTTAATGAAACAAAAAAAGAAATTGTTATGAACAATGAAATTTCTAAAAGTCAGATAAAATACATATGTAACAACATTACACATGATAAATCTATGTTTGGAAGCTTTCTGAAACTTCACCTACTTGTACGAATTTAGAACAAATATGTGAATGTGAAGGAACAAAAATCAATTAAAATCTTACAGGGTTGACACCTGAGTCAGCATTAATTTGGAGTGTATAGACATCATCTCTTGCGTACTGGAACAGGCCGTAATATGGATTTAGCATCTCATGGGACAGAAGGTACAGCCACTCCCTGTAACCAAAACACCTCAAATTAACATCAGTGACCGTATCTATTTCTATTGCCATATTGTTCTATTTCAATGCTCTTTATAGAAGCAAGCCAAGGGCATTTAGTGTTTTATTGTTTAATGCGGGTAACCTAACTAAATATGCAGGAAGTGAGAGGTATTTGATGTTTTGATACATATAATCAAGGCCTGTAGGTTGTGATCCACATACATAACTGGGGCCTGTAAAGATTCCTTGATGTGCTTTAGCAGGGCCATCAAGGACCATTTTTTGTCAATAAACATGCTATATCTGTGCTGAAAACAATTAGCATTTTACTTCCATAACCAGGGCACAAAAAAGAGTACATGATATCCATGTTCTGGCACACAAAAGAGTACCTGATATCCATGTTCAGGGCACACAAAAGATTACATGATATCCATGTTTAGGGCACACAAAAGAGTATATGATATGTGTATAACAGAAACCTGCAACATTTCTGCTACAATGTTTCAATCGTGAATAGTACCAATGTATGACTATTTCTAGTGCAAATAATACTGGACATGTCACTGATGGTAACAGAGAGACCCTGCTGGTTTGTACCTGGCTACACCTCCATAATCTAGACCCTCCTCCCCTCGAAACTTCACCATCAACCGCTTCCTTAGATCTTTGGCTCGGAGCTTCATCACTTGTCGGTAGGAATCCTGGCGATAGAATATTTACATTAGAATATACCAGTATCAGAATTTCTGTAAATTACAGAAGATCAAGCCAAATGTACAACATACATTATACTTAGAATGTAGGTACAGCTCAAGAACATGTGACCTAATTTTTTTTACAACAATAACTGAGTATTAGTGCAGCTATTTGGTAAGATATCAGAAAGAGATCCGGTGCATATGTGTTATATGAAGAAAGTTTATTACCTCAAATATTTCTTCACGCGACACCTCCATTCGACAGTGGCCTGTCTGAGTCTGTAGTGAGGAAAACTCTTGTCGCAGTATTTTCATTTTCTGGACAAGATCTCGTTTGTATTTAGGCACAGGCGACTCGTTCTCTTTATCATTACATCTGTTGTTACTACTCCTGCAGAAATATTCAATATTAACAGCTTTAGATACACACAATATTAAACAAGTTCAATCAAACATTTCTCCTCAATCTTACTTTCTCAAATTTGTAAACAATATTTGGAGGGAAAATGGCTAAAGAATGTTTCTTATGACTTCACTGCAACTGATCACAAAGACAAACACTGATACCCTATCATTCAATATGACTCAACAAAACTTACTAAGAATGGACCCTGATGGTACGGAAACCTTAGAAACTAATCTTGAAGACTTTGATGACTAAGCTGTGAGATGGAGGGAATAACTTACGTGGATCGAGTAGTCGTCTGAAGTAGATGGATGTTTGCAGAGAGCCGAGGATCTGTGAATTGTGTTGTCCTGTTGTTGTGGTCTACAAAGTACACACGGCCATTCCCTGTGTGACGGGTCTCCCATCCAGCTGGTAGCTGACCGAGGTCTTCCTCTCGGATCTCCGAACTGGACAGGTCCCTATAAGGAGGAAAAACAAAGTACTACAATAACAAGCCTGTAGGTGTACGATGTACAGATTACCAGATTTTTAAAAGTTTTTTTTATTCTACTGTTTAAACTGTTAAAATGATTGTACTGGGGATGAATTCACATATGATATAACATTTTAATTAACAATGAACAAGTCGTATGATGGTACAGACGACCACTTACCTTGGAACTCTTGGGTCATGCCACGTGCTAACTCCTGTCCGCGTGTGTAAAAAGTAAACCTGACCTTGCTGAGTTGTTCGTTGTTCTGAAGAAGGAAAACATAATGTTTATTACTTTCATTGCTGCTTTAGTTAAATTTGTCCTCTAAGATGGTAGAAAATATTGGAAATGTTACAAATATATTATGCTATGTTATCCAACAATTCAGCTAATTCCTATTCTACATTAGTTTTTAAAACATGGTTAATTTGGCCCAATAAGCTGTTAATGCATTATATGTTTTTGGCAAATCCACAATACTTACTATAAATGCAATCATGTTTTAATGTAATACTTTAAGTGTGAAAGAGTTAAAATGAAATTATTGCTTAAGTGTGTTTGTGTATTACTTTGTTTTAAAGAACATAAATATCTACAAAATATCTGATCACATTGTTCTTGTCCTTCATATTTACCATAGCCACTGGGCAGGTCGACAGCGTTGTGGAGGTGAGACCGGTTGAGGTAATTACGGTGTCGTGTAGATCGTCGGCGTGGTAGGGGAGGGTTGGATGTTTCACTATCGTCATTATTATTGTTAGACGAGCTACTAGTGTTGTTCTCATGACTACCGCTGTTTGTTGACTGCTGCCGGCTGTGTGCACTGGAAACAGCATTGTTTCGTACAAACTCAGATGCTGGCCTGAAAAAAAACACAAAATATAAACACTAGAAGTTATAACTAACAACCAAATGAAGAAATTCCACATCACTACTAAAGATTTTAGACCGTATTTGTGAATTTACAGATCTGTTTATTTGTAATTATTCCAGATATTTGTCAAACCCAAGAAAAGAAAAATTGACGAAATTCTGACACTTAATTTTCAAATTTTTCGGCTTTATTGTTAAAAGAAAATTGTTATTGAGGAGGGGCATTGATCATTATTATTGCTATATCTGTCATATATGAATGAGAAACGACATACCTTGTCGGACGTGCCCACTGGGTGCTACGTGTCAGATGATTAACATAATGTACACGCCCACTTGCTGTACGTCTCTCTTCCCATCTACAAAATATAAAATAAAAGAAACATCACAAAAAAGAATAACCCAAATTTTGAGAATTCAAGACCCTCACAAAAATGGCCACACTAAGAATACACTACAGACAGATGAAATAAATAACTGCTATTTATCAAACAATCAACTTCCTATCCAGTGAATTCACTCCTGTAATATTTTTATATATGTCACTGTTGTGATATTACCTGGAGTGTTTTGCATTGGCAGAGCTAACCAGAAATCAATTGACATTATATTATAGAGAGATGTTATATCATAAGCTAAAAATGGCAAAAACATTTTGGCAGACTTTGACTGATTTCGTCCACGTTTTTCTTTCAAACCTATAAAAATGTATGTTTAAGACTCATTTCATAAAATCATGTATGAAATGAAAATTCATTTAAGAGAAAAAGGAACATTAAATATAAGATGGTGAAAAAGAACTGATCAATACATCAATATTTACCAATGTGCACATTCAACACTTTAAAGTGTGAAACCCTTGTGTTACATCATTATTGACACCAGATATAAATCTCTATTGATAGTAAGTCCGGGTAATTACTGCTAGATGTGACAGTTGCTGTGTGCTCTATATCATAGTCCTTGGAGCACACTATATGACTGGGTAACATATACAATAACTATAATAGTACTTTCTATTAATCCTGAAAGTTTTGTCTATCCTCAGAGTTAATAAGGATCAAAGAGTCTGGACTGAGGTGCTTCCATATTATTGGCATACAAGGGTAGAAGTGTGTATATACAAGACATTGTGCATATTTAATAGCACATCACAAAGAATACAGGAATATCTGGGTCAAACATGTTTTCTTGCTTTCAGCATTATTGACCTGGAAGAGAACCATCACACACTACTAGTAAAGATATACACCTTACCTATAAACACAGACTTAGCTACTACATTCTGCGAACTGTTTCTTAGAACTACTTTTCTTTGCTTCAATGGTGATCTGCTATAATTTTACCAAATCTTTTATCTTGTAAAGCATCTGCTACAAACCCATGTTCCCTGAGCTATTAAGTTGACAGAGCTTTGAAACTTTAACACTATTCTGAGACACCTAGAACCCAAATCTTCAAGAATCGTAAGCTTAAAGCAGTAATGAAATAAGTACTAAAGAAATGTTTTTTTTCTAAAACTAAATTTTTGTCATATATCAACAATGGATATTTCCATCAAAGTTATATGCAGTTGTGTACGTTATAAAACTGTTTATCTAGATGTTATAAGTAAATTAACTTGTCCTTGTATCCATACAAATTAGAGTCTGGAGGTCCTTGTTTTATATACATACACAACTGTAAACAATGTAACAGTAATTATGGCCTCTCAGCTTCAGCAGCTGTCACAGACACCACAAGGTCAAGGCCTCACCATATACCCTCCTAACATACATAGGGAAACACTCAATTATATTAATTTATCCCACACCAAAACAGCAAACAGCGACAGTAAATATATTACCGTCAATATTACAACCGTATCACAGACATTTAATACTGATCTTGTCACACTGATTCCATAGCAACTCAAAGTATCAACTTATTTGGAACATATCTGATGCTTCTGAAATATATTGGAGTTATATTTTACACGTCATTTTATACTTGAAAACAGCCTGACAGGCCATTCAGCACAGTAACTAGACTTTTACCTATTATAGTCAGAATAAAAGTATCAAGCAGTGCTCTGACCTAAGTGAAGAGAGTGTGTAAACACCTTGTTATACATCAGTATAACTTCCACTGAATTAATTTTGTTGATAATTACGGTACATAAGTAAGTGTGTGATATGTAATGAATCTGATATAACAGAGCGTACACAATTTAAAATGATAAACATATTCCAATCAAATTGTGTACAATCATTAATGCACAAAGAAATCAGTAAGTGGGTTTCTACCTATGGATGTAGATAATAAATCCCAGTGTTCACCGTTTAAATGAAAATAAATAATAGAACCCCGTTAACTGTAATCGAGATGTGTTGTTGTCTCCCCTTATCAAATAAAAAGGCTTTTTGTACTGGTGTATCATTTTCACCATCTAATTTTATCGCTTTCATCGACATCTCTCCCGAGTTTCAGAAAACAAAAGTCTAATTCATACTGAATTGCCTGTAATGTTCATTTGACATGCACATAAGGTAGAAACAGAAGTGTTTTTTACTTTCTGGCATGTTTTGAGAGCTAAGCTATAGGGTATAATAGTACTGTATACAGGTCACTCTAAATCAGGCAAGGAAAGTGGGTCTGAATTCAGCAGTATACAAACCCTATAACTGTACCTCCGTTACATCAAAACACCACAAGAGTGACACAGCATACTGCTATTTATGGCTGTAATATTTGAAACAAACCTCCTCTCCTCCCCCAACTCACTTATTTACAACAGACTGTCTACCAAAAAATCAGTCACACTTGGTTTTGGTATTGATCCCATAGCCAAGGAGATGAATAGAAATTGGAACAAAACTATTACAAATTAGCAATCTATATTAGCACATGTCAAACTTGTTGAAATCTTCAGGGAATACTTTCACTGAAAACAAGGTTTGTAATTTCTTTTATAATAAAACACCAGTATGTTACTGAAATTACTGAAAGGCTAAACTTGTTTGTAATCTATCTATTTTTAACTTTAAATGTGAGATATAATCCATCATATGCAAAACAATAAAAAACTTTTATAGAAGATGACTAACTGATTTTGAAGACATTTTCCATTAATTCAGAGAAATTTGTGAAAAATGTACAATGAACAAAAACAATTTAAAGTTCCAAATCAAGAGATTTCTCCACCAGCATTTGCATTGGATATTAAATCAAAAACAACAACAGATAAGAAATGATTTATCTAGCGACTGTAAAAACCTGCATGTAAAGTGTGCAATTTTTCATGAAAAATTAAAGGTCCAAAATGGTGTGAGTGTGCATATTATGTAGCTATAAGATCACAGATTTTGCGAGGCAGCCACAACTGACTGTTGGAATTATCTGGTATGCAGAAATCTAATATCAACAAAAACAAATAAAATTATTACTGTATATATTAATGCACACTAACTAACTAACTAGCAAGATGGCAAATTACCAATCGCCTGATTATCGTCTGTTGCTGACTTTTAGATAGATGTCAATGATAATTCTGTGTGTTTCACCATATTGTTCCGCCTTGGAGAATCCTCCACAAACCAGAGCAATGCCAGTTCATGATTCACACAAATGTCAATCAGGATATCTTCCTGACCACCTCGTCTCTCAATTTTGGTTTTTAGTATAATACTTCATTGTCTCATAGTGACAGTAAGCATGAATGACACTTTTTTGGAAGATGTTGGCATTGTTTCATGGCATAAGACTGTCGCTAGGGGTCACTAGTAAAATTACTGGAATATTTTCACCAATCAGTAAGCTAGGATTGTTTAGCCTAAAAACCAACGATGATTAATTATTCAATCAATTCGATAATAATAATTTCATTAACAAATTATGCCATAGTTTTTTTATCATATTATCTATATATACATATATTGTTATACAGCAGTTTTGATAAGTAGCTACATTTACAATATATCTGAGGGATACTTTCCTTAGTATGATGTTGTCAACCTACATACTTGCAATATCTTTCACTCACAAGTAATGCTTTCACTATCGGAATATTTCTCAAAGATTGTTGTAGTAGAAAACACCTTTGTTTGACAAGTGTTTAAAATGATGATCAACCTCCTTTGAACAAAATTTCTCCAATGAGTAAATTAATATCACCTCAGTGTGCCACTCTCCATCTCGGAATGTGTCTGATAAATCTGAAGTACTAATCAGTTCATGTAAAGTAGAAAATGGAACAATTCTGACACTGAACTAAGGTATTATATCATACTGGGAGAGAAAAGTTGGTCTCATATGTAAGCTATATTTCCTGTACTTTAAATATGCTACGAGAGAAACATCTGACAAAGATTATCAACGAATGTACTGTAAAATATCTATAATAAGACTATGCATGTTGTAAATCTGTCACTTATTGAGATGAATTTATGTACAGTAAAACTGTATTAAGAGCATCATTATGTACATGAAACAATTATTATTTTTTGTTTGAATAAGCCGGAATTAAAGGTACGGTAAAACCCTTTAACAAATTATACGTTTGTAATTAACATGTTATACAATATAGCAATTAGACTTTATGGAGTTATAAACCATACTACTTGAGCTTCCAAGATATTAAAATCTCTTTGTAGTTTGATTTGAAACTACGAACAACACATTATCTGTACTTCCTCATACCGACACACTTCCTCAATCTTTGTGGTAAAAGACTACTCTAAGCTTACGTGATGAAGAAGATTTTTATGACCGATGTGCAAAGATCACCTGGTAACAGTTTTGTGTGTATAAAAATCAACATCACTAAGGGCAAATTTATTGTATACGTCACCTCTGCAATTAGCTTTGAAGTTATTTGGACACATTTGAAAACGTATAGAAACTTTGGCTTCCCGATTAAACCTGTTACCGCAAGCAACATAACATGTGTACGAGCAAGACATTGTTTATATTTTTACATCTGCACAAGGAAAAGGGATTCATGTTTGGTTCGACATTAATTTGCCTGCCTCTACTACAAAGTCCTTGGCTCCCAAGTCTGTAGTAAGAATTGTGTAAGTACATGACGCTAATAACAGGAACATCAGTGCGGCTGTATAGTTATGTAGAGATGAAGACGTTTGTAACATGGGATAGTTTGGCTGCAAGATTCACAGATGTAGTAGCAATATTAAGCACCACAGTGAAGCAAATTGGGAGCGGTTGAGACTTGGCACATGGACGTTATTACACCCCCTATATTACTACAGTAAATAACTTACTACAAAACCAAAACACATCCCCCTGTCTCAACTGCCAAAAAATGTCTTACACTAGTCGTCTGAATGGAGATCTCACTTACAAAGTCACAGTGTTGCAGAGG